GGATTGTCTGTTGTAGTGCACCAGAGCAACTGCATTGTGATCTAAGAGCAAACTTCGAAAGCCTCCTAGCCAGAAAGCTGTGTTACCTACTTGGATTTAGGAGGTCAATAACCGCAGCATAGCATCCCGAAAGCAATGTTTTAGTAGAGCGCACCAATCTGACTTTTGGAGGCACAGCTGCGATTATTTTTTGGAAAGAGAAATAGAACCATCCCGGGATACCCTGTTAACACTGTGGCCATCGGCCTACCGAGGAAGCACGCACATGTCGACGGAGAAGACGCCACACCTGTTATGGACTTGTCGTGAGTTACGCCTGTCTAGTGATACATTGGTTATGCCATGATGCGATGACCTATTGGCTGCATCGAAAATGGTAATACGAGTGCGAGGAAGCATAGCTAGATACCATAGTAATGCACGCGAGTAACTCGAGAGAGCACAGCAGAGGCAGAAACATTACTATGATAAGAAACAGTGGGGAACACCAGGCTGCGCGGCTCTTCGAATACGACGTGCATTTTCCTCTCTAACAGGAAATATCCACTTTTGTGAATAATTCGTTTGGGAAACCTGATCCTTCTATCCGGCGAATTTTATTCAACCATTTCTTCACCGAGCCTGTGTGAAGTACTTCCCACTGTCTCGAACTACTACGTTTTAACCAAATCTGAGTTCTGATTTTCATTCATAATTTGTTCCAGTGTGCTTGATTTATCACTGTCTGTGCTGTCTATTATAATCTGTATAGTCATGGTTGGCTGATTTCTTTGAGTAAATCCAAATGTCCAATAAACGTTGCATGTTGAAGCGGTAAACCAACTGTAGCTGCTACATTCTGGATTTACATCCGTCAAAGTTCCTAGGTTAGTTTTGATGACTCTGTAGTCGTTTGTACCCTAGCCACTTTAACACCTAAAGTTATGAAGTAAAAACGACGGAATTCTCCCAGATTTGACTTGACTTACGTGAATTATGTACTTAGATACGGATTTTATTATAAATGCAGACAGTTACTCGCACTTATCAGTATGGACAACAAGTTAGTGTATGACGGATGGCGCATTTCACACAGTAGTTATGTAATTCACGTGGTTATGAGTTATCCAAATAAGGTGAATCGATTTTAATGATCAAGACTCTTAGTGCAAATGAATAAATAAATAAGAGATCAAATCTAGCTCTGTATGATCAAATTGGCAAAGGTGTGAATGACTAAAGACTTGAACATGCCATGGGAATATTAACAATACTGTCTTCAAAAATGGATAACTTTCAACTGTTTCAACAAAACGTAACTAACTGTACGTCACTTATCTAGAATGATTTTAGGACATCGGTTTTACTATCTAACCGGTAACGGTAGTTCGCAATTCTATGGACTTTCACACTATTCAGTCACAAATTTATTTGACTGCTCAGATATGACTATATCTTTTCTATTTATCCAAGTGATGTTCTTTGAAAGTGCATTTAAATTGTTTTGAGTATTTAAAGTAGCAATAAATGGGGACTTATCAACCTAATATTGTCTTCGTTATTGACTCACTGGGTAAAGCACTACACACCCATCGACTGGATCACTCCTATAGTATAGAGTTTATTTTGTATTTATCTCTACAGGACATCTTGTATACAGTTGATAAGAACCGATAAAAATAGTGTTATACTATGCGTAGTCTGTTGCTGTTTTCATGCTTATCATACGAAAAGTGTATGAAATCCAAATGTTCGTTGCTTGAGTTTTTACTATTTAACTTGTTAACGAAGTATAAGATATGGGTGACAGAAGCTTAACACTCAGGTAAAATATTTTGGATTAGTTTGGAGAAACGGTGCTTTCTGGAGAGAAACACATGTCTGGCTAAAATTTGTTGAAACCGATGAAGGCAGATGTAAATAGCTCATCCTTAATGGCGAATAATATCCATAAAAATTAAGTAAAGAATGTAGCTAAGTAGAATTCATATGGAATTCAAAGCGTTGATGGCTTACTCACTGGTCCAGCTCTCTTAAATCAGTATTCAGTTATAACTCAGGAGTACTAAGCAGTCTCATTTTATTTGCATACTCAATTTTGGCGTTAGGCACTTTCATTATATGATAATTGTTGTTGTTGTCGTTCGTGGTTCTTCACTCCTCAATTTCGACCCGTCACAACTATCATGAATACATAATTAGTGTACCAGGGATAGGGAGCACTCTTGTGGTTTGTCACGGGATGAGGTTGCATATAGTTCTGGTTTCGCAAAACGCTGTGTTTGGTTCTACCGAAAACCAGTGCATAATTATTTAGTCAGTGGGTGTATCGTTATGTGAACCAGTGAATATACGGTTTCGTCAGTTGTAGTGTTTTAAACTGTACCTAAACAATGCAGGAAGGAAAGTCAACTGCGTACTAATGATCAAGCTGGCTATCAGCTAAACAGTCTGATGTAATTTAGCGCAAATAAAACACCATTAAGCACGCCAGAATTAAACTGAATTGCCAGCGTGGAAATTTACACAAATCGGTATCAGTTCAGGTTGTTAGACGTCATGAAAGTGCACTTAAAGGTAGACAGAATAAATTCAGTCAAATGAATGAAAGTGTAGGCGAAAATAAGTACATGAAGTATACTGAGGATTTTAAAAATCTATTAGATCACACTAAGTTAATTCATCTACGAAACTAAAGACATCTTCAAGCTATTTCAACACCAGCCTCCAATAATTGATTATTGGCATCCTAAATACCGAAGGGAAGTGGTCTTCGTCTCCCTGTCTAGCCTAAACCCATACTGAAAAACTTCTTACTGCTCGTAACTGTTTTCCAACTTAGATCTATCTTTACTTAATTGAATTTTAGATTTTCCCGTCGATTGATTGGACCGAAGTGCTCGGTCTCAGGTTGACATGTCGGCTTCTTGTGCAGATGCTTCGATGGTGTCTGGGCCTGTAATTAGAGGTTAATTAGTGGATGGTGACTAGCAGCGGGAACATCATCACCCACTGCAGAATGCAAATACATCCAGATGACAAGTCCCAAATAGGGAGAAGTGCGTGTTATCCTGGATTCCACTGCTAGTCACCATCTACCAATGAGATCAGTTTTTACCTAACATTGTTTGTGGTGGAAAGTAATGACTAGGCACACACGTATCACATGTCGTAGACTTCTCAATCTACCGAGCTTCATAACTTCATCAGCTGACTATCCCTTCCTGCTTAACACAATATGCCTAACCTCATTGTTAATAACCATATTGCTCCCTTTTTTACGGAGAAAATTGGACTAAGGCACCTTAAACAGCCATGCATCACCTGTGGATGAAGACAAAGCGAACCATTTCATTTTCTCTACTTTTTTTGACAACTTGAACAGCTGCACACTACACACATCCTTTGATAGTTGTTCGCATATTGCGCTACTTGAAAATATCAGTCGAGCTTTTTTGTATTTGTACTGAGATTTTGTCAGTAATCATCCCGTTAGGGCTAATATGAGGTAGTCAATATACACAGCTATTTCATGCTGTGGTTTAACTGGTGACTCACTGGAATACCTCATCCAATCACAGTGCCAATATAATGGTAACTGCTTTTAGTCTAACTGTTAACTGTCTGTCTCAACCAGCATAATTTGTTAGGGCATGGTTATATAACTCGTCGAAGTAGCAGCTGTCAGTCAGAACAGTGACACTGGGTTCCATGTTGGTGATTTAAGACTGTTGACCTTTTATGATGTTCGTGATTGGTACGGTGATTTTAGCGCCATAATCTGAATTTCCACCCGAATTAGTCTTCATATTATTTCGAACTCCGAGGTGTTGTCCACTAAGCCACTGGAGCCACAAGAGCCACCTCTTGTGCAGTGGATATCACTTATCGTTGGGATAACTTACTGGTTAGTTAGAAAAGTGTTCCAGTTGAGGTCAATATTTTTTTTATCAGAAAGTAAATAGACATGAGTTTTCTTGAGGAAAATATGGGTTGACTGTCCATGTTGGCAGATTACAATGTCCTGAATTATTCGTTATTAGCCTTTTTTTGTTCCTTCACGTTCCCCAGTGGAACATAGGGCTTCAAGCTAGTGGCTTGAAGTTTCTGTAGTAGTGTTTGTTTTACAGGATGGGGTTGCTAGCCTCATGCCTAACCTTTCCTCCTCAGCAGCATTATTTCTGGCTTAGCGAGGTAAAGGAGTGCGTCCAGTGGTCGGGGTCGAACCCCGGACCATGTGCATGGTCGGCGAGCGTCCTAACCGCTATACCACTGATGCACCGTTATTAGCCTAAGCCAAAGAGGGAAAATCAATCGAAGAGGCCATAAAGTTACATAGATTGAGATGGCTAGGTCACGTGCTGCGCATGCCTAGCCATCGCCTCCCCCGACGGGCATTTCTAGCTGATATAGGTGCAGGTTGGAAAAGAGTAAGTGGGGGTCCAAACAAAAACATGGCCTCATCAATCCATGAAATCCCTGGCAGTTAAACTGAGTCAGGTAGGGAGATGCAGACTTCCGGGTTGGGGCCCGCCCTCGGGACTCTAAGAATCAATGGCTGGAGACAATAGGTGACATGGCTCAAAATCGTTGTCAATGGCTTACGCAGATGTATTCAGTCTCTGTAATCTTTCATATTCCTTTCTACCATTACTCATTCATTCTGTTTCACTCTTATACTTGTCAAAACTCTATTGATTCTCTTCACTCATTTCCTTGTCTACCTTTGTGTGCTATTTGGAACGTGGCAACTGGAACTTCTGCACTTCAGTGCCAAGTTCTATGTTGAATCCAGCCAGCCAGCATTAGCCTAAGCATATTTTATTGACATGAAATTATCTGATTATAAATTCTACAATTACTTTGCTTCAAATTCCTGAGATATTATCGTTGGTATTCATTCACTGTATGTGCTTGGCTTCTTCATTTAGTTATTACGCAATGTTGGCAATCATTTGCTAGCATCTATTAATGTTTAACTTCACTATACACTTCTTTTATTTCTAGATTAATGTGATACAATGTCATCTGATTCAAGTGATGTAAAAGATCTGATAACGAAAGCAGAAAAATGGTATGTACAATGTGTATACCTGTTGTTTTCATTCATTCATTCAATTTAGCTTAAAAACATCATTATTAAAACGCACTCCTGATTATGATGGTGCAATTGACTATTACAGTAAAGCAGCACTGATTTTCAGAAATCGTAAACAGTTGAAAGAAGCTGCTGAAACGTATAAAAAGGTATGCATTGTTGGAGAGCAAAAAAAAACATGGATTAACATATAACACTGTTAGGTTGCTGAATTACACTTTAAGCATGGATCTTATTTTCATTGTGCAAAAAATTATGAAACAGCATCTCTAATGTATCGTGATTTAAAGGATTTTTCACAAATGGCATCATTAATTGCTGAAGCAGGCCTATTATTACGTCGTAATGGTACACCTGACTCAGCATCCTATGTTTATGAACGTGCTGCAAAGTATGCCAGCCATCCTTTCTGTTTTATATATGTGATATATATTGATTGTTATTACAGATGTCTTGAAGAACCGCTACCAGAAAAAGCTGCAGAATTTTATGAAAAATCTGCTGATGCCTGTGAGGTTAGTTTGTACGCAATAGTTTTTTATGACAAAATCACTGCATATATGTATAATTCACTATTGTATGAAAGAATCAAACCAATCAATAAGTGTCAAAGCGTTTGTGTGTGTATGTGTTTTTCGCATTTTTAATGTTCACAGATAGAAGAGAAATTTCACGAGGCTGCATCTCAGGCGAACAATGCTGCTCGTTTATGGGTTCGATTGAAACGTTTCAACGATGCTGAACGACTGCTTCGTCTATACATTGACTACATAACAAGAGGTCATTCAGATTCTTCTGCTAGCGTGGCTAGTGGTTTCAGTGATACAAATGCTGCTGCAAAACTATGCGGTCGTGCAGCAACTGTCCTTGTACTGATTAAATTGTATATGGAGGATGAAGTGGCAGCCAATAAAATTTTCAATGAAGCTGTCCAGTAAGAATGTGTACATTTTTGACTTTATTATTATTATTACTATTATTAGAGTAACAGTGTTCTGAGCTTTTTTTCTCATCGTAGATGTACTAATGGACTTAACCCTAAGTGACCTCAGCGACTCAGGAATTGACTTGTTACCAGGGGATAATTTCGTTGACTTAGAATATGCCGATGATATAGTCCACCCTCCTAGGTGAAGACGCTGACAAAATACAACAGAGTCTTCTCAACACCTTGAGCAGCGAGCAATCTGCGTATGTTTGGCATGCAATTCGCTCTCACCAAATGTCAGATGATGCTACAGGACTGGACTACATTGACTCCCAGCCTAGAAATAGGGAGTGAATTGGTTGGTGGAGTGTGTTGACCACTTCCCTTGCATCAACCAGAGCCAATGGATTGATCTCTGACGAAATCTCAGCATCGATACAGAAGGCTCGTTTCGCGTATGCCAGTTTACGCTGTCTCTGGCGTAGACATGATATCCGACTGGCTGCTCAGTAGTCCGCTCCGTCCTCCTTTATGGCTGTTAGCGAGACCTGGCCATTGAGAGTGGAAGACGTGAAAAACCTGGCTAGCTCTCTTTGATCAAAGGTCACTGTGTTCTGTTTCTTGTGTGAAATGGTTTAATAGAGTGAGCAATATTGAGGTTAGGCCTCAGTCGAGTGCTAGGTAAGTGGGAGGGGAAATCAATAGACGAGGCTGTGAAGTTACATCGATTGAGATGGTTAGGACATGTGTTACGTATGTCTAGCCATCACTTTCCTTGACAACGGGCAATATTAGCTGACATAGGGTCAGGTTGGAAAAGAGCCACTGGTGGTCAGACGGAAACATGGCTTCATCAGTCAGTCAATGAAATCCACAACAGTTAGTTTAAGCTAGCCACGTAAGAAGCTGTAGACTTCCTGGTTGGGGTCCATGGGACAGTAAAAACCAATGACGGCTGGAGACAGTTTGTGATATGTCTCAAAGTGATCGTTCTCAATGGCTGGTGCAGATGCATCCACTCCTTGTGACTTATAATTTCCAATGAAACTATATTGTTCTTCGATATTACTATTCGTTTAACTTCATGTCTCTGTTCACTGTCTCTATTTTGCATTTCTTTTTTCTGTCTTCTCTCGCTTTGTGTGTTACATGGGGTGTGGCGACTCAAACTGCTGCACATCGGTGCAAAGTTCTATGTTGAAACCAATCACGTGTTTTTTTGGTTGGTGCTACTATTAAAAGCGTTAAATATTACGATCACGTCGAGTGGAAGCCACCTGTTTTTTGTTACTAATCAGCAAATAACCCTTGGGACGCTAACTTGTCATCCACATAGCATAGTATGCCTTTTAAACTGATTCACATTCAGATATCACCAGACACTTCACTGAGCTATGTGAATATCTAGTGCAAAAATAGTTTAATGACAGCTTCTACGTATGCAGAGTTTCGCTTAATCAATAGATAAATCATAATTATAATGTAATGACAATAATTCTGGTAAAGCAATAAGAAGACGTAATTTGTCTGAATCGTGTAATTTATTTGCTCAACACATTTCGAACAACCTAACCACACACGTACTTATCATAGGAATATATATATTTATACATATGAAAATAATAAAGAGTTAAGGGGTGAGAAAATAGTACTTAGGTAAAAAGTTAAAAGGACATATTGAAGGTGAAAATAACAAATAAAGTTTACCAAGGAAGGTTTAGTGTGATATCGAATTGTTTTTGAATGCCCAGAGGTGTTTTAAACTTCCTAATCGCTAGAGCTTTCACTGACTTTAGGATACGCCCTGAACACGTTTTATAGATAGGACATAAAATTGATGTTTACACCTCTTTCAAACCTGTCTCTATAATTTGTTTCGCCATAGAGGAGCTAGGTCAATTTTTCTCACCATTAATGGGTTCTTGGGATTCTGAAGCCATTTACAAATATGCTCTGAAGCCCTTACTTTCAGAAATCGGCCTCTTCCTTATTTGTGTGTATCCACACGTACATTTAAATTGGTAAATATGGTGGGATAGGACATCATTTTTCGCATGTTCTGAGGGCTTAGATGGATATATGGACTTCATACTCTCAATTATTATGATATTAGCTAAATAAAAAGTCTTTCTAACTGCAGCGTTCAATATTTGTCGAGTTACCAAGCTGCTATGATCACTCATGAAGGGTAGCCTGATATATGTGTCTTTCTTTGTGGCGAACTGAAGATTAGGTCTTGGTGTCCCACTGACCACTTTATATCACCTAATGAACTTGTCTGGATAATTATTATCAACCAGAGTTTGTGTCAGTTTTCTTTCTTCTTCATCATCTAATGTATCTTCGGTCTATATACGTTGGTTTCTACTGAAGAGGCACCTTACTAAGGCTCTTGTGTACCGAACAGGGCAGGAACTGTGATGATTAAGATACTATCCTGTCCATAATTATTATAATCTTATTATTCCCTCGCCTTCCGAGTGAAACATAGGACTTCAACAGCACATATCCACTTTCTTTCATTTTCTGCCATCCTCTTCAGCTGGGTCTACAATTGTCCAAACTCTCTCGTCTCCTCCTCTCCACATCATCTCTTCCACGTCACCCTCATACAGACGACCCATTCGTCGCTTATCATTTAGATTCCACTCGAGTGATGGCCTGCATTGAGCGCGATGTCATTCGGCGGCCTCCTTAATGTACGCCCGATCCATCTCCACTTTCTCCTACATATTTGTTGAGCGATAGGCTCTTGGTTGGTTTGTTCCCGTAATTTCTTGTTGCTTATTCTTTCTGGCCATTTGATCTTCAGTATGGAGCCAGTGAAGGCAGCTGTTGATGAAAGTCTGCAACCTGTTGGAAAGCCTTTACGTGACACGCAGTGCAATTTTATGATCCGGGTAGAAGAACTGACTGACGTCACATTGATGTTGAAAATCCGAATCTTGTTCTTTATGATGCTGACGTGGAGTGCAGAAGATTTCCACATTGGTTTCAGGTTGATGAAGGCGTATCTTGCCTTTCCGATTCTGACTGGCTTTGACATCTTCATCCGTTCCGATTGCCTGTAGTTGAAATGATGCTTCCTAGCCGGATAAGTGAAGAAGGTGACCTCTGTTGAATCTCTCCCGTTGATGGTGATTGGTGCTCGTTGTTGTTTTTGTAGGTTGGTTATCTTCATCTCCTCTGTCTTCTCTATGTTCACCTGCAGTCCTGTCTTCACTGTACTGCTTCGGCAACCAGTTTTTTTGGTTTTAGCCTACCTCTAAGTCTTCTAGTTTGTGTGACACTGGACATATACCAGCTGGGAAATCCAAATCTCCTAGAGTCTTGTCATCAGTGGTCCAATGTATTCTTTTCGAAGTCGATAAAGTTGAGGTAGAGGTTTGACTGCCATTCTATGCCTTGTTCGATGACGATACGTAGAGTTGCAATTTGATCAGCACATGATTTGCTTTTCCTAAAGCTAAACCAGCTTGTTCCGTTTGTCGGAGTTCTGTGGCCAGTGCATCTTCCATTCTCTCCAGGATGATGCTACTTATTATTTAACCTGGCGTGGACAAGAGCATGATTCCACGCCAGTCAATTCTTTCACAGACCTAAGTTGCCCTTCTTTGGCAGTTTGACGAGCTAGCCCTACTTTCAATCAGTAAGCACCTTTCCTTCTTTCCAAATTTTTCGCAGTAATGGAATGAGAACATATGCCGTAATTTCTGGGGCCGTCTCCAGTGCCTCGGGAGGAATTTTGTGTGACCCTGTTGCCTTCCCGGACTTCAGTAGTTTGATCACATTCAAGATTTTTGCTTTCGTTGGTAGATTGGTTTTCATGGGCAAGGATTTCCCTGTGTACTGTTGGTGGTATTTCTGGGTGAGTTGCCGGTGGTGGTCGATTCGACAGTCCTTCAAAGTGGTCAGCCCGTTGTTTGATTTGTTTCTCCTCCTTGGTGATCAGTTTCCCTTGAGCATCTTTTATTGGTTTCATCATCTGGGTTGATCTCTTCCCGGATAGAGACTTGGTTATCTGATATAGTGTCCTGATGTCTTTTTTGCCTACGGCCTGTTCTGCTTCAGTTGCCAACCAGTGTGTCGTAGAATTGTCGTTTGTCTTTTCTAGCACTCTTCTTCACTTCTTTATTTAGCGCAGTGTACATTGAATTCAGCTTCTCCTTCTGTTGTCCATCTTTGCATTGAGTCAACACCGTTCTCTTTCACCATCCTCCTCTCTTCTGTTAGCTTTCAGATAGGTGTCGGTTGAGAGCCATTCCTTGTTTTGTCTCTTCTTTCTCCCCAGAACAGTTGTACACGTTTCCAAATCACGAATTGGAAGAAGTTAGAATTCATGGGCCATTGAGTCGTGTCCCGGTGGCTGAATGGTATATGAGCTTGTCTTCTAACAAGAAGATCATGAGTTCGAACCCCAGTGGGTGCGTACTACCGATGATCCCCAAACCAGGATAAAACAGCTGTCCAGTACTCCAGTGGTGGTTTTCAATGGTTCTGTAACTGATAACAATCCGTAGTCAAATTCGTATAAACAAATCTAATCCTTACAAACCAAACTCTTGAAAATAATTTATTAATCAATCGGTGTTCTGTTTTGTCCACTTTTCTGTGCATCAATTTGGTTTAATAAAGTAATATACATATTTTTTAAATTATGTTGTCCTTCGGTGTGATGTTTATTTTTTTGTCTTCTGAAGGCGATGGAGGTTTTCAGAAGCTGAAGAATACTTTGCAGTAAAACGGTTACTTGTTGCTGTTGAAAATATGGATAAAAAAGCGTGTTTACTGGCTATAAAGGATCAGTGTTTTCGAATTCTTGATCTAGATGTAAGTGTTTTTTGTTGAATGAATTAACTATTTCACCTTAAAATTATGTGTTGTAGTCCCGACCGAAAGCTGCTACCTTGACGTGGTGGTCGGGCTTGAACACCGCAATGACCCAACAAGCTATACTGGCTGAGACTTATGTCGCTTGAGGTCCTACCATGCCAGAAAGGTTGTTTGGATAGCGGTTAGACAAAAAGTAGCTACCCAATCCAATACTATGAGTCAAACCAGTTCACAAAATATCATGCCGGATCGGTCGGGGCCCGGATTAACAACGACCGCGCTTCCTGCTGCTGTCTCACAGGGCAGAAAGTGATAAATATGCTACTGAGACACACGAAACAAAAAAGAACAAACAAAAACAGGCTGCGTGTGACCGGCCTCAAGCAGTTGTCCCCTGGGCTCTGCGGTCACGCAACACTCCTTCTGTTCCAGAAGAATCAATCAACTTCCACGGTGTGGGCAGCCGAGAAGTAAAAACCGCCCACACACTTCCAAAAGCGCACGAAGCCTTCCTGAGCAGTTGTAGTAACACTATTGATTGATTTGGTTAGAAATAAATCGCTCACCTAATAGTGATCCGAATACTATTTATTTATAACTAAAGACTTTTATAATGTAACATGTGGAAACTTATCAATGAAATTACTGGCGGTGATAAGCAAAGTATTATTATCCCCTCTTTTTGATGTAAATAGTCTTGGATAGCGTTATTAGAAGACGGAGATTATCTGAAAAGGTATGTGATGTATTTGCGCTATACATTTCGAACAATCTGATCCCTCACACATTTACTTGTCAAGTCGATATATATATATATATATATATATATATATATGAAAATGTTAAACTAAACAAAGTGACAAAAAAGGAATTAAGAATGGTTAACACAACGTAGATTAAGAGTAATAATAAATTGTTTTTGAATACACAGGGGGGGGGACTTAAGTTTATGAATAGCTATAGCCTCGGTGTATTTCAATAAGCGCCCTTGACCGTTTTTATAGATGACCTTAAAGGCTGAGTTAACATCAATCTTATAGTTCATCTCGATTAAGTGTTTAGCTATAGACGAAGTTGGTAGTCTGACACCTGCGTCTATTGGTTTTTCACAATTCATTTGTTTTTCTAGCCATTTTGGGATATGCTCTCCCACCCTCACACACAAAGCGCGATTACTCCTCCCTATGTATGTGTGACCAGACACACACACACACGAAAATGTGTGATCAGATTGTTCGAAATGTATAGCGCAAATACATCACATTGCTTTTCAGATAATCTCCGTCTTCTAATAACGCTATCCAAATTTATAAAAGGGACTAATTGTTGTAAATAGTCTTAACAAATCTGTTATGCTCTCTCCTACTGACGTTTTCATTTATATGCTTCAAATCATAAGGCTAGTGCCCTTTATGGTTTCAACACTGTTGAATCACGCACTCTCGATTCATTAACACAGTCAACAAATTTCAAGGTATTTATTCTCTTCAAGACACGTTTGAATTCGTCGAATGTATTAAAGAATTGAGAGTGGGCGACAAGTGCGTGATTGCATTCGATATTGAGTCACTCAGTCTTCACAAACATCCCGATTGTGGAGACGATTTGCTTCCTATGTAAACACTTGGAAGACAATGCCTTTAAATATCGGAATACCGACTCCCCTAGGTTAAGAGAGCTTCTATTTAGGTGATGACGGCGGATTCGCATCAGTTAAAGAGGGAGAAAGAATGGATCTATAAGTTACATCAATCCGTGATGTAACTAGAAATAAGCTAATATGAAAATAAACTAATACGTTTCACAACAGTTTTTTTTTCCTTCACGTTCCCCAGTGGAACATAGGATGGCTTCAAGCTAATGGCTTGAAGTTTCCGTAGCAGTGTTTATTTTACAGGATGGGGTTGCTAGCCTCATGCCCAACCTTTCCTCTTCACCAGCACCAATTCTGGCTTAGCAAGGTAAAGGAGTGCGTCGGCCGAGGATCGAACCCCGAACCATGTGCATGCACAGCGAGCGTCCTAACCGCTATGCCACCGACGCACTTCACAACAGTACACTCACTTGATCATAGTGTGGTATGTGCTACTGATAAGATTTGTTAGTAGTATACAGACACAGATTGATAGGAAGTGGCGAAAATTGAAAACATCATTTTAAGTCAATGCCTGCAGGGGTAGAAGTATTTATTCCTCAAATCTGGATTTGGTTTGAATTCTAGTCAAGAAATAATCTCATTGGACAAATTGTTTAACCTTGGACCAATCAATCAGAACGATTTGTCCACCTCTGAGCTAGCTGAGCTTTAATGTGGCTAAGAATGTGTAAATATGGCGTGTTTTTCCACGTCTCTTATCTTCTCCGGTGACAATAGTACGAAGAAAAACAATTACCTGTACCATTGACACTAAGTGATGCATCGGTGGCTAAGCGGTAGATTGCTCGCCAACCATGCCCTTGTTTCGATCCCCGGCCGATGCACTCCAAAATCTCGCTAATCCGATAATAAGACCGATAAAGAGGAAAGGTCAGGCATGAGGCTAGCAACCCCACCTTGTAAAAATAAGCACCCCTGCTACTGAAACTTCAAGCCTCTAGCTTGAAGCCCTATGTTCCACCACCGGGAACGTAAAGGAATAAAATGAAATAAATACTCCCAATATTCCCGTGTTTTCCAATGGTTCTCTAACTGATGTCGGCTCATGATGAAATCCTCCAGCCAATCAAACAAAATCTATACAAAACCAATACTTGAAAATTGATCCGAAGCTAACTAGCGACTGGCCCTATTCAGGCACTTACCTGGGGTTCTAGTGGGAAGTTGTGACCAGTAGGGTACAGCAGGTTGAAGGTGAGGCAGCAACTCACCGACGAAGACATTGTGATGTGGTTGCGCTAGGTCATGAATTGGCAGAAGGTAGAATTCATGGACTGGTCATTGGATCGGGTCCCAGTGGCTTGATGGTCTACGATCTATCTCGCCTTGTAAGCAGATGATCCTGGGTTCAAACCCCGTCGGTGGATGCGTGCCGATGAAGAGTTCCCAACTAGGAAGGAGGGAACAGCTGTGCAGTACTCCGTGCTGGTTTTCCAATGGTTCTCTAACTGATGTCAGCTCATGATGAAATCCTCCCAACCAATTAAAATAAATAAAGACTAAGTGATGTGTAACTGTGTGTTTCAGTCTTCTGTTATTAATTAGTACATTGTCTTTTTATGCTCATTTATCGATTATTTTTTCTTCTTCTGCTTCTTCCTTTCTATGATATTATGTAGTATGCACGTTTAGCAAAAGAAATCAAATTCCCCTATCCTGACAATGCTGAAGAAACACAGAATACAAGTACCAATAATAATAATGTCGGCCTACCAATGATGAACACAGGGAATACTGGCTGGAGTACTTCAGCTGAAGCCAATCCAACTACTGCTACTACTACTACTACAGACAAACAATATAAAGATAACAACCAGTCAGAGGGAGTAGGTGGTGGTGATGGCGGTGAACAAGAAGATGAAGAGGATATCTGCTAGTCTGTTTTTCCTTCTCTCTTTATATATATATATATATATATACTTGAGACTCTTTTCCTTCTTATCAAAGAAATGAGAAGCATTGTGATAACTCTTCATAATATTTATTATTTATTCAACCTCTTTTTTTCCAATTATATTATTATTATTACTACTACTCCTGGAAACATTCCTCTAACAACTAATTTTGTATTTATAAGTTTTTCCTCTTTTTTGTAAACTATCATGCATTATACATGACATCACTTACATATTTTTGATTTATCTATCCGTGTAATACCATTCCTGTGCAGCAACAAGTAAAAAAAACAATCAATAAATATAATTCCGTTACTTCTCATTTGAGTCTTTGTCTTCTCTCCTCCTCCTCTTCTGCTCAGCAGTCCGCTCCGTCCTCCTGTGAGACATGGCCGTTGAAAGTAGAAGATACGAAAAGGCTAACTGTGTTTGATAAACAAGGTGTCTGCGTTCCATCTCCCGTGTTAGGTGTAACAGAGTGAGTAGTATTGAGGTCAGGCCTCAGTCAAGTGCTAGGTAAGGAGGGTTAATCAATCGAATAGGTTGTGAAGTTACATCGATTGAGATGATGGTTAAAACATGTGTTACGCATGCGTGACCTAGCTGTCGTCTACCTCGACAACAAGCAATGTCAATTGACATAAGATCGATCAGGTTGTGATAGGACCCAGCATAAAATAGTATATCATCCTTCCTGACGAATCGTGTGATTTATCATGTGATGGAGTTACTATGTGAATGTATCATTTCTCACGCATATTGTGATTTAGTGTGTTGTGACCAATTCGTCTTCTTTTGTCTCACCTTGAACTTTGTCTGATCGCCAACCAATGAGAATAGACATTTACTGTCAAGGGCTGCCAGGCTGGATAGTGTTCACGAGCGCGTTTTTCAAGTTGGTGCACGGTACAGCCGATGTACTCAGCTCTGTAAGAGCAAGTAAACTGGTATATGCACGTTGAAGTGGCCCAATGCGACAGCTTGTCTTTCGCGTTCTGGCTGAACAGTTTCTTTCAGGAAAACGTCAGTCGTAGGCTCGCGGTGAAGTATGTTTTCCTCAGAGATTTGCAGAGGTGTTTACGAAGGATTCCTGCTTCAATGTCACCTTTGAATTCTAGATTTTATTTTGTCATTTTATTATTTCTACATATTTAATCGCTAACTGCATAAACAATTATTCGTCACATTAGTTATAATCTCAGTAGATTGTTTATCCAGACATCCTGTCTATTTTTGTTATTTCTACATTTTCAACCCCTCCCCAATTGCACAATATGTCAATCTTCTCAGTAATTATGATGCTACTTTGTTTGAGTTTTGCCCGTCCCCTCTCCCTGTTTATTATGGCATTTTAATTCCTAGTTGTAATTTTATTAATCTGACCCTTGACCAGAAATTATTCTGTAACTTTCCTACCCATTTATGATAAATACACGAATGTACAGCTAGCTATCTAGTTGACGGTGACTTCGTCGAAAAGAAAATTTTCATCGCTGCAACCGTCTTTTTAATAATTTCTATGATCCAATGTGTATATTCCATCACACAGGAATAGTTGTAATGAGAAGAAAAAGACGTACATAAAAAACACATTTATCTGTACAAAAAAAAGCCATCAGAAGGTGAGACGATAGTCATTCGCGTCTGTCTATCTATCTATCTATGTACAAATTTCAATTACTATCACTATTGCTTTATGTACAAGTTTCTTCTGGTGCACCTTCATCAGTAGTATTATTACAAGTATCTAGATTATCTTCTTCAGGTGGTTGATCATGTACATCAGGAGTTGATGTAGCATTATCATCACCATCACCACCACCACCGCCTTCTGTTGTATTCGTTGTTTCTTCTGTTTCATTCAGCTTTGATAGCATTGCTGACATGAGTTCAGCAACTATACCAGGTTGACGTGATTCTAATTCATTCTGAAACATCAAACCATCAACAAAAAAAAAAACATATTGAAACATTATTTTAGGAATACAAAAAAATTTCAAAAACAAAAAATGCGATTTAATTGAACTTTAGATCTTCCCGTCGATTGATTGGACCGAAGTGCTCGGTCTACTCAGGTTGACATGTCAGCTTCTTGTGCAGATGCTTCGACGATGTCTGAGCATTAAATTAGTATTTAGTTGGTAGATGGTGACTAGCAGTGGTCTAGTGGATAACGATTCGGGGAGCCTCAGTGAGAACATCATCAGTCACTGAGAAATGCAGGTACATCCACATGACGAGTCCAAAATAGGACGAAATGCGCATCCTGGATTCCACTGCTAATCACTATCCACCAATTAAACAATGTGATTTGATTGATTGGTTGCAGGATAGGGTCCCAGTAGCTTAATGGTCAACGAGCTAGCTAGCCAGCCTTGTAACCAGAAGGTACTGAGTTCAAATACCGGCGGTGGGTGTGCAGTGACTGATGAAGAGTCCCAAACTAGGCTGACGAAGCAGCTGTCCAGTACTCCTTGCAGGTTTTCCAATCGTTCTCTAACCAATAATATAATAACAAATACGATAACCAATCCCTACAAGTAAGTTCACATATGACTCACTAACTGACTGATTGGTTTCAACGCAGAACTTTGCACAGAAGTGCAGAAGTTCGAGTTACCACACTCCACATGAAACACACAAAGGAAGAAAAAAGAGATTCGGAAGAACATTAATGAACATAAGTGTGAGGGAGGAAGAATAGTAACACATTGGTAAAAACAATACGGCGTTTTTGGATATGTCAGATGAAAGAGAGTGAATGTATCTGAGCTGTCATTGACAACGATTTTCAGTCATATCATCGATTATTTTCACACGTCGTTTTTGGTTCTAACCACTCCAAAGACGCCAAACAGACTGGCGGTCTACACCTCAATACATGTCTGGCTCAGACAAACTGTTACGAATTTCATCTATTGATGTCAAATTTTGGCTTCAGCGCTACTGACCCTTTTCCAATCTATTATTATTATTGTTTCCTTTAATTCCTAGAGGAACATAGGGCTTCAGCCGTGCGTCTCCATTGCTTTCGGTTCTCTGCTAGAGTCTTCACCTGGCTCCAAGTTTTCCTGATGAGGAAGACGATGGTTAGGACATTTGTTACGCATGCCTAGTCATCTCAACAGATGCAGTTTCACAACCTAATGAATAGATCTTCCTTCCTTATCTAACACTTGACACAGAACCTCCTCAATATTACTCACCTCCTATTATACCGCCTAACATGGCAGACAGAACGTAGACAACTATGATCAAAGACAGTTAATCTTCTCATGTAAGTTCATATACTACAACCAAAGACTTGTCGGTCCGTCTGCCTATCTGTTTTCGACATAGAACTTTGCACCAATGTGCGGCAGTTCAAGTCGCCACACTCCATGTAGCACACAAAGTAAGAGAAGAAAGTAGGAGAAATGCATATTAGAGACAGCAAACAGAGGTGTGAGACAAAGGTATAATAATAACGGAGAACAAAACAGTTTCACTGGAAATCATAGGTCACAAGGAGTGGATGTATCTGCGCCACTGAGAACGATTTTGAGCCATGTCACCAATTGTTTCTAACCATAGGTTTTCACCGTCCCGAGGACCCAAACCAGGAAGTCTACACCTTCCTACATGACTGGCTTAGACTAACTGTTGTAGATTTCATTGACTGGTGCCATGTTTTCGTTTGACAACCGCTAGCTCTTTTCCAGCCTGACCCTATGTCAGCTAAGATTGCCCATTGTCGAGGAAGGCGATGACTAGGCATACGTAACACATGTCTTAACCATCTCAGTCGATGTAACTTCACAGCCTCGTCTATTGATTTTTCCTGCTTACCTAGAACTCGAGTGAGGCCTAACCTCAATATTGCTCACACTATTATACCACCATTTCACACGGGAGATAGAACGCAGGCATCTATGATCAAAGACAGCTAGTCAGTGATTTCATGTCTTCCACTCTGAATGTCCAGTTCTCGCTCACAGTCATAAAGGAGGACGGAGCGGACTGATGAGCAGTACACACACCCTTTGGTCGATAGTCGGATATCACGTCTACTAAGCCAGAGACGGCGTAAACTGGCATATGCGAAGCTAACCTTCTGTATCTATGATGAGATTTAGTCAGCGATCAACCCATTGGCTCTGGCTGATGCAACTTCCCAAATAAGTGAAACAGTCAACGTGCTTGTACCATGTTCAAGTGAATAAATGATTCGATCTAATTTCACTTCTTAGAAGTAAACTGAGTTTCACTCACTCTGTGGTGAGAGCTGGCTGCTAGCCAAAGTTGGTAGACAGTAATTGACGTCAATGTTTATGTCCCAATATTGGTGGTGAGAAAATGAGAACAAAGGCTTTACATAGGCAGATACAGTTAGCATATGGATGATCTGACACAACCACAAAGAGATGCAAGGTTAACTTTCTGTGAGAAACGACCAATCAAAAGACTGTATTTTCTACTAACAATAATACACAATAATGTACATTAAAATCTATAAATATGTGTTGATTTTCCTTAATAAATGATCTGTTGCCTAGCCCTTGTCTTCTGTTGTTACAACTCAACAGAAACAAATTGCTTGAAAGCGTATTCATTATCAATATATTATTAAAGTACCTGTAGTAGAGCTGCTCGCTAGTTGAGTCACTTGACTTTCAACCAACTAGGTCACGGGTTCGACTCCCGTTCCATCCCATCTAATGAAGTTTGATACGCTCTAAGCTTCATCATCCAACTTCAATTCTCCGACTTTACTGGTTCATAGAAGCTTTAGGAGTTAGTTAACAAAAAGTCCCGTGTAAGGCTGTCTCACATAACTTAGTGATCGATCGATCATATTATGCAAAGTGATCTATAAACTTCGGATCTATTGTGTGACTACTATCCATTTACCTAATTAGTACAAATATGTTAATCTAAATTTGAGAGTATAGGGTTGTACATGATAACATACTTCATCAGTGAGCATATTCGGTACTTTGATTAGACACTAACTAGTGTTATACGTCTAGTCTTTTGTTTGCTGCAGAGTGAATTCTAATCTTTAAATATTCCCATTTTTAATATTAGAACAAGACATATAAGCGAACAATATTATTGTTTTCAGCTAGATCTTCTTCAGGCTTTACTCTAATTTACATAGATTTATATAAAAAAATTTTAACCGATGACGGTGATTTTGGGAATCAAATAATAATAATAATGTGGTAAATGTTATGAACATAGTTAATAACGATGATTATAATGATAACAAAATATTGATAATAAGGTTTATGCAGGTGGCGATAAGAATAACAAAGGTAGTATATGTATATATGTAGACAATTCAATAAATAAATTAGGTCAAATCTTAAAAGTTACGTAATACTAAAGGTAGGTAAAGTGGATAGATAATCAGAGTTTAAATAAATATCATAAAATTACGAAGGAAATGGAAAATAAGAAAGGGTGGGAGGGGTTATGAATAGAATTCACCTAGGCCAGGCAAGGGAGAGACAAAGGTAGAACAAACTCCGTTTGTTTGCAAAGACTAGGATTGTACTCTCGAATTAATTCCCATTGCTTCGGCTAAGTGTAAAAGACGGGTTCAAATTCCGTTCGAAAGACTTGATGGGATACGATAGATGACTTTGAAAGCACTATTTTTGTCCACTTGGTGACCGCTATCAATCAAGTGAGCCAAAATAGAACTTCTTATAGATTTTATTTGACCTTTTCCAAACCATGAAAGAAGATACTCATTAATGCGTTTGCTAAGCTGTCTAGTTGTTCGCTCTATATAGCTCTCTTCACAGGAGCAAATAAATTTATAGATACACATAGAAGTGGCACAGCAAGATAGCTTGTTCTTCGCTTGAGCAATCATAATTGGTCGGCTGGAAAATGACAAACAAAGGGTGGCAGCAGTATAAGTCCATTTTATCACTCTCGATAATCTCAGATGTAAGACTTCGCTAGCCACGTCTCCATTAAATTGCAGTTTCATGAACAGTTGTTTCTTTTTAACTGTTGTCAGTTTCTCTTTATTATACCTGGTGTTCTTGTGTCTCCTTTCAAATCTACTAGGATAACCCATTTGGACCAGTGTATTCTGGATGTATGTGTCCTAATTCATTTTCTAGGGAGTCATCTGTACGGATACGTCTTGCTCTATTCGTAAGGCATCTGACCAAATTGACTTTGTATCGGATTGGTACAAAACTGAGGAAATGTGTATATTGTCCTACAGATGTAGGTTTTCTACAGACATCTCTCTTGAGTGAACCATCCCCTCTTCTGCTCAATTGGACGTCAAGGAAATGTAGTCTACCATCATGTTCTTCTTCACTAGTGAAGATGAGCGATGGATGTGCATCATTAAACTTTTTTAACACTTCATTCTTGTCAGTTTTCACATCAAGAATAATAAACGTATCATCAACATAACGAAAATAAGAATCAGTTTTATCTATTACTTGTTTCAACGGACCAGAGAGTGAATTCCATCAGTTTAATGTGGCCACCAACATGCTAGGTGGTTCTCCGTCACGGTGACCTTAGAATTCTTGTTATTAGATGGTTAGGCGCAATCTTCAGGAAGCCCCACCTCACCTAAGGCTTCAAGCTTGTTTCCAGTCAGCAAGGTGAATCCACATCCCTTTCTGATATTCGAAACCATGTCACCCAGTGCTGCAGTCAGTCAGAGACGTTACCACCATTGAGCTATTCAGGCTCGCAATTGACCTCCTGTGTGATCGCCTGTATTAGATACTTCTATTGAACACCAACCAGTGTCTTTCGTCTAGTCTTTTGTTTTTGCTGCAGAATAAATTCTATCAGCTTATCTCAGAAGGAACATGAGATCCTTCAACATTGTAGATACGCCTTACTGACTGACTGACTGGTGAGTGTCAGCCAACAAGCACAAAATGTAAGTCAAGTAAGGCTTCCTGCTGATTGCTTCCAACCATCGAATAAGCACATTCGGTGTCAGTTTCAGATAACATATCTATCTCAATGTTGATTGCAGCGAAATAACCACTTGGTTAGTAGTTGGGTCTAGTAAGTTAGCTGGCATAACAACACTATCAGCTAACTCGTTATACCTGAATGAAACTTAAATACATTATCATATGAAAATACTAAACTACTGGTAATAATAATAATAATTAAACATGAAGAAAGGGTGATATTCTTACCTGTAATGCTTCAACAATAGATTCAGTTTGATTTATTTGTTGGTGTAGAATTAACAGAGTATTTTGAAGACCTTCTAAATCAGTGTAGGCTTCATCCACTACACTTTCAATATCTAGTAGTAATGCGGAGTTGTTAGAATTAAACACACAAAATAAGTATGTCCGACAAACAAACAAGGAATTTATGAAAGTATATACTTTTTCTTTAATCTGATACTTGCTAGTGACTGGATACAGAACGAAACTGCTTGAATTTCTGGTGAGAAGTCGTGACCAGTGGGATCCTACCAGTAGGGAATGAGGATGGATTTCCCGCCGATGACATAGGTTGGTGCCGGTCACGCTAAAATTACGAATTAGTGGAAGCTAGAATTCATAAGCTTGCCATTCCGTCGAGTCCCAGTGGCTGAGTGGTATATGCGCTTGTCTTATAACCGGAAGGTTCTGGGGGTTCGAAACCCAGTGGTGCGTACTACTGATGAATCCCAAACTAGGATGAAACGGCTGTCCAGTACTCCAGTGCTGGTTTTCACTTGTTCTCTAACTGATATCAATCCGTGGGGTCTAACCTGAAAATATATACACTGGTAACCTTAGCAACCAGTCACATGATTTATCGTTACAGGCATACACTTTCATTCAGAACTAGCTGCGATAAAGAGAAGAAATTCACTGGGGCGAAAGAAGTATTCGTCAATGTAAGCTGATGATACACGACAATCTATATCTATGCTATTACACTGGAGATCCACAGAGTACAAAGGATTTTTGTCAAGTCAATGTTTCTGTATGGTTGAGTGAATTGGTGCGAGTCACTAAAAGCACCATTTCCAATAAATTATTATAGACTTTCATCAAAACTTGTCCCCTTCACCATATACTGAAAAACAGATGGTCATGGAGGATAAGTAATAGGGGACACCAGGCAAGCAGAGAATTAGCCAAGGACTATCTATTGTCCAACAAATATGCAAAATGAAGCGGAGATGAACTGCACATAGGGGCTGAGGAAACAGTTACGCAGAAAAAACACATTACGCCCATGAGTGGGACATAAATGGGTTGGGTATTTATAGGTGATGAGCAGAAAATGAAGCTTTAGATATGATGGAGAAGATTTGTAGCTCAGGTGGATGATTTTGATATGGTTGTGTTCTCTGGGCTGGATGGTTTACACTTGCGAAGCTTTCATCACCCAACTAGACGACATCTTCAGCGCATACTTCAATTCCATGAAGTGAGCTTTCAGATTTCCCCACGAGTTTATTAATCATCTCTCCTGATGACCTTGGACTTGATTGGTTGTCTTTTTGTGTTTTCACACCTTCTAGGTTATTTGTATTGTAATTCATTGTTTCTTTGACTTAAACTTTGACCCTTTGTGTGTGAGGTTTCTTTCACACTGCATTACGGCTTTGAATACCACTGGTGATATCATGGTAGCCACTCACTACGTCAATGATCTCGTGGTTGTCTTCTGGGTGACCAGACCGGAGGAGACTACTGACTCTCCAGTTGACAATTTCGATAGTCCACATCCATTCCATCTGCTCTTGCAGATACCCAGCACTTCTATACCACTTATTCTCATTTATTTGGCTACCTGGGCAGCCTCGTACATTGTACGTATTTTCCACGTCCTCATTCTTATTCTTGCTTTCATCGAGAGAAGACACGTCGACTGGCTGACTGACTTCTCGAAAGCTGGCTTTCACCAGCCAACCCGCTGTGCCACTTGGCCTCTCCGATATCAGTGAAGAATAGGTTTTTTTGTATTTTTAATATTTTTCTTGAGCGTTTGGGTTTCTGTAGCAGTTTGACTGGTTTTGTGGGGCGGGGTCGCTAGCTGGGCTTGGGACCGACTAGAAGACTAGGCGAGGTTGAATGTCTAGACAAACAAGTGAAATGAACCAATGTCCGAGTCAAGGTAGTGCTGTAGTGAGAGCTGGCTGCTAGCCAAAGTTGATAGACAGTAATTGACGTCAATGTTTATGTCCCCAATATTGGTGGTGAGAAAATGGGAACAAAGGCTTTGCGTAGGCGGGTACAGTTAGCATATGGATGATCTGACACAGCCACAAAGAGATGCAAGGTTAACTTTCTGTGAGAAACGACCAATCAAAAGACTGTATTTTCTACTAACAATAATACACAATAATGTACATTAAAATCTATAAATATGTGTTGATTCTCCTTAATAAACGATCTGTTGCCTGGCTTTTGTCTTCTGTTGTTACAGTGCAACAGAGCACCAAATCGTACGAAATCATCTAAAATATCGAGAAAAACACGCTATGAACAGGTAACTTCTTCTAGGATTATCTATATATCTTCTTCAGTTTCTAGTGTGATTTAACCTACTCCACAAAAGAAAAATACAAAATATGTAGCATCAGACTGTGGGGGAGGGGAGCGAGAAGATAGGAACACGTTGGACCGATAAGAAGAAACTTGAAGATCTTCATTTCGCCGATGGTTTATAACTAAAGTTACACAAACTCAATGACTTACAGGTGAAAACCACCAGGTTGGCAGAAGAAGCGGGCAGCGAAGACATGACTTCAGGTAAACATAGAGAAGACAATCAGTTCTTCTATATGGGTCAGAAACTTGGCGCTTGCGTCACCAAAAGCCTTTCTGACAGCCAGTTGTAGACTTTTATCAACAGCTCCCTTTATTGGCTCCATAGTGAACAACAAATGGCTGCCGAGAAACAATTAGCAACAGGGAAGTCTGAAGACGAATCAACCATCAGCCTATTGCTCAACAAATACGCAGAAGAAAATGGAGATGGATGGGTTGTACACAGGCCACTGAAGGAACTGTCGGATGACATCGCGTGCCAAACCATCGCTCGAGTGGAAACCAAATAGGAACCAACGACTTGCGCTTGGTTACGAGGGTGAAATGGAGGAGATCGTGTGGGGAGCAGGAGATGAGAGACTATGGGCGATTTTGTGGCCAGGTGAAGACGACTGAAGAAGACCTATGTTCCACTCGGAAACCAAAGGAATACTACTAATAATAATAATAACACAGAAAAGTAACGTTTAGGTAAAAAAAAAAACATTGTTAATAAATGATAATACAGACTAAAGATTAATACCTTCATTAGCTTTTATAAATTCTTTTATACACGTTGCTTGAAGTTCAGCTTCAGATTCCAATTTCGATACACGATCAGCTTGATTCACTCGGCCTAATTCTTCATTAGCGTTTAGCAAGTGTCGAATACGTGACATTAATGACTTCCCAATTGAACTATAAAATAGAACATCATAAGTTAGTAATATAATATTAAAGCTCTAAGAGAGTTATTTCAACATATTAGGAAACTATGGGAATAAATCTAATCCATAGTTATCAATGATTACACTTACTGTTAACGTAGGCGACATTATATACTTTAGTCAACCACAGGACTATATAATACGCGACAGTTGACTATTTTGATTGAACACTAGGCAGCAACTAGTGTCACGTACCTAGTCCTTTGTTGGTAATAGATGGTTGGAGGTAATAGGGAGGAAGTATATTTATTTAAACGCAGAAAATGAACTTGGTACAATATGGCACCAAGAAAGATGCGCCACACAATAATGATAAAACAACTTAGATTAAAAGTAAAAAATATAAGTAGAGAACGGATAAAGAACTTCATCTGCAAGGAAAACAGTCATACTTAACAAGTTCAAACAGTATTCGTTAGCTATCATCAGGAAGGGAAGAAAGAAGGAAATTGCAACACGTTCGCCATTGATTACGATTCTTGGCCATATCCGATAACGTTTCGAGCGAGCCACTGATTCGAGCTATCTCTCGGACCCCAACCAGGGAGTCGTGACGCACCAACCGATGCTAATCTAGCACAAACACCCTTCATCCCACGACGACACGTCATGGAATGACTACCCCTCCGCCTTTTCCACCCCGTCCCAGGGCTAACGAACAGAGACCGCCATTGCGGAAGCCTATGTGATGACATTCACCGCACATGTCCAAGAAACCGAATCCGGTGTTTTCAGATGACGACACTCAACGAACGGTGATGTCTACTGTTTCCAAACGCACACTGCCAGCACTCAGAATTACTCACACGATGATGCCGTCGAACGCAAGCAATCCTGCGGAGACAGCGATGATCGAACGCGCAGAGCCGCCTCACACCCTCAGCTCGGAGAGGCCAGGTTTCACAGGCATATAGCAAGACAGTAAGCACCGAAGCATTGTATACCCGACCTTTGACAGCCAGGCTAACGTCGCGATGGCGCCAGAGGTGGCTCAAGTTTATGTATGCCACACTAGCCTTCAAGATACGGTAGGAAATCTCATCCGTCACGCCTCCGCCAGCACTCACACAACTACCCAGATACACAAACTTATCAACAACTTCAAGTGGTTCACCTGCAAGAGTGAGTGCAGGTACAGACTCCTGCCAATCTTGTAACAGTACTTTGCACTTAGACGGCGCAAAGCACATACCATACTTACAGACACTGATCGCCAACTGATTAAGTGCGATTTGGGCAGCCTGTATGCTATCGCACAGTAAGACGATATCGTCTGCATACTCGAGGTCGAAAAGTCTATCTCCAGGTAGCAGATCTACGCCACCTTCACACATCCTTCAGAGCTGACTCCAGAATGTCATCGATGTCAAAGTTAAAGCGAAATGGAGAGATTGGGCAATCCTGTTTAACCCCGCTGTTGGTTGGGAGGAAGTCCTACCTGACATAGGTTTCGTACTAGTTGGCAGTTGTCAGCACTGCGTATCTACAACCTCCAAGGAATCCATGTCCCTTCTGACATCCGAACCCGCGTCATCCAGTGTTGCAGTTAGAGACGTAGCCATTGAGTTATTAAGGCTCGCGATTGACCTCCTGTAAGGCTGTCTTGGATATTTTTGATTGGACACTAGTCAGCAAATAGTGTAATATGTGTGTGTCTAATCCTATCTGTGGTGTAGACTAAATTCTATCAGTCAAGTCTGCAATGTGACCACCATACCACTAGGTAGCTCTCCATTACGGTACATTGCACCAAAGATAGGACTAGACAAATTACACTAGTTACTGACTAGTGTCCAATCAAAAAATATCTAATCCTTTGTTCGTTGTAGACTGAATGCTATCAGTCAGGTTTGTAAACTTGTGTCAAGTCAAAATATCCAACACAGTCCTACAGGAGTTCAATCGTGAGCCCGGATAGCTCTATGGTGGCAACGTCTCTGACTGACTGCAGTACTACTGAGTGACATGGATTCGAATCTCAGAAATCGAAGGTTGCACATACGCCAGCCTTGATGATGAGTAACTGCCGGCATACACGAGACCTAGGTCAGGCTTGGCTTCCTGCCAATTGCTTCCAACAATCTAATAAAAACGATTATTGATTAAAAAAACCAAAATTATGGTACTATATTGTAATAAACTAATTAGAATTCAGTTAGCGGAGATAGATTTATCATGTACCAACCAAGCTATCAGATCCCCTCAGCTTGGTGAAGAAGGCTGATGATATTACTCACAGGTGCTCAGGTTGAATTAGATAAAGCGGAATTCAAACCCAGGTTTAATTTAACTGAAAGCTGAGAGTTACATCTCAACCAGTGACAATCACTGTGATAAATAAACAGCTGTTCACCTTTAGTTAATATAAGTGTCGCTCAAATTCTGCGAATGAATCGCAGCTGTTCTTGTTCTATTCCCTAAAAACGTTACACCTAAGAAACTACTGATTTAACTGTCCACATGACTAACGAAATGCACCAAACAAAAACTTATAGTCTGTGCAAGAGCTGAAATACTGCTAGATTGAAGCAGGTGATTCTCCTAACTTAAGGGGCCACTCAACAAGCCTTTGATTTGAAGTCAACAAGTACAGTAGCGTCCGGAGCTAAGTTCCTATGGTTTCCTTTGACTATAACAGATTCATACGCCATTTAATTCCTACAGATTCTGGAACATAAATGCACCATAAACTTTGGAATGAGAGTTTTCCAGCTCCCTAGGTACACCTGCATGTCCATCAGTCCGGTGGTAAGGGCCAGAAGTTCGCATTTACTCTTCAACTTTTGTGAGGAACACCGCATGAAGGTAGTCAATAAGACTTTCCTGGTAGAGGCCACCACATGAGAGCATTAGGAGAGGAGGGCCGAAATCTACCCACCCTCGAACGTACCAGGTAGTTCATGATGTCGTATTCTTCGATGAATAACAACATAATGCGACTGAAACACATCCGACCATCTTTAACTAAATATATTCTAGATAAGTATACATACACAGAAATGTAAATTGACTACTGAAATGAAATGCGATTCAGTAGCTTATTAAACCAATGTTTCACATTTGTGTTTTAATCCCCTATTGTCTAAGCAAAAAATGGGCTTTGCTAAGAGTTGACTCAAGTTATTTATTACTCAATTCAATCGGTCAATTTAATTAATTATAAAACGGTAGGTAAATTTTAGAAAATCTCAAGAACTTTAGAAATAATTTGTTGCATAAATTCCTTTCTACTTCAAACAATGAAATATAAATAGTCCTCGGTTGGCAGACTGTACTGAATGATGATTGAAAGTAGTGAGATAGAAGTCTGAGAGGCAGTCGTCTCGAATTCTGCCGCCTGAAGATCAACCAGCTATGCTACAAGACCCCAACCCAACTGTTAACCAGATTATCACTTCACACACGCATATACAGAACCACCACGAGTAACGCTCAGAGCTACCATGTGAATGAATGGTAACCATTACGGACTATAATGACTTGATATTTAGGTTTATAGAGTAATAAAATGTTATTTGACAGATTAAAGTTAGGTAACATGGAACCCAGTCGAACTGCTTCATACTTCTTTCAGCCTCTTAAACTCCAATGACTGTCCAAATCTACATTATTGAACTAATATTAAAAACTAGAAAACCTGGGAGAACTGGACAGGTGATTCGTCAGCCTAGATTGGGACTACTCTTCACCAGTACCCATCCACCCCACTAGAGTTCGAACCCAGGACTCTACAGTTGCAAGGAGAGCTCGTAGACCATTAAGCCAATGGAATTCATGGGCCATTGGATCAGGTCCTAGTGACTTTTCATGGGTCACGTGCTCTCCTTGTAGCCGGAAGGTGGGTGCATACTGACTGATGGAGAGTTCCAAACTAGGCTGATGAAGCAGCTGTCCAGTAAGCCAATGCTGGTTTTCCAATAGTTCTCTAATCGATGTCAACTTATGATGAAATCGTGTAACCAATGAAATCAAATCCCTGCAAACCAACACTTGAATAATATGTTTTTTAAAAAAGTGAAATTTACCTTTCTGGTGAAAATCTCCATGCCAACATATCATCATTACTTTGTCTATATCGATTTTGTGCTTCTATTGTTGTTTCACGTAATTTTTTATAAACAAGATTTACTGATGGTTCAAAAAAATGTTTCAATGAGATCAGTGGATTCGCATCAATTGTAAAAGAGTTGGAGGAGGTTGAAGTATCATGCTCACTTGTTGTTGTAGTCTGCAATTTACTTAATTTAGCTCTTTTCATAGGCTTTGAAAGGAAAAAAAAGGAATAAAAAGAAAGAGATTAAATAGATAAAATTAGATTTGTTACAGCATTTCATCATGAGCTGATATTGGCTAGAGAACCACTGGGAAACCTGAGTATACTGGACAGCTGTTCCGTCGGCCTATTTTGGGACTCCTCATCAGTACGCACCCACAGGGGTTCGAACCCAGGACCTTCTGGTTACAAGGCGAGCTCGTATACGATTAGGCCACCGGGACCCGATCCAATGGCCCATGAATTCTAACTTCTGCCAATTCACGATATAGCGCCTTGTAACCAGAAGGTCCTGGGTTCGACCTCCGGCGGGTGTGTACTAATGAAGAGTCCCAAACTAGGACGAAACAGCTGTCCAGTACTCCCAGGTTTTGCAGTGGTTCACCAACCGATGTCAGCTCATGATGAAATCCTGTAACCAATCATCCAAATCCCTACAAACCAATATTCGAAAATTGGATTTGATCTGATCTGAAATGGATTATTAATGTAGAAATTTGCACAACAGCGTTCATAAAGATGCTTGAAATCAATTCCTAGAATGGGGTTTTCTATAACTCAGGGGCTATGAGCCACAGTTATTGTATCTGAGAGCAGATGATACTAATCAGATGATCAGGCTGAATTTGACAGAGTGGGATTCGAACCCGAGAGCCACTGACTGAAAGTCGACAGTTTAAGTCAACGAGCCACAGAGAGAAAAGCATTGAATGTATAATGATGTTTTAATCCTGATGGGAAATCTGAAGAAGCAAATATATTTGAGTTGCTGAAAATGATTTTGAGTAATGTCATTAACTGTCCGTGTCTAACCACAAAATTAGATCCAACAGTCTTTGACATAATACACACATAAAGCCTTAATTCAAGCTGGATTCAGGAAAGGCAAATCACGTGCTCATCAAATTCCAACTCTACGCGTCGTCATCGAACAAGTCATAGACTGGCAGTAAAACCTCTCTCTACGTCAATTTCATCATCTGTGGAAAGGCTTTTGATAGCGTTGACCGAGAAGTTATTTGGAAACTACTTCAACACTATGGCGCGCAGTATTCCAAATCTTTAACAACCCCATTCAGCAGCCTTCCGACAATGCTACGTGTCAGGTGATCCACAGCGTAAAACTCAGGGAAGCCTTTGAAATGAATACAGGAAGTAAGACAGGGTCCCCTACTATCCCCGATGTTATTCCTAATTGTGTTGGACTGGATTATGCGTCTGACTAAGCGTGTAAGCCAAAAGACAGGAGTACGGTGGACCGATAAGAAGACTCTAGAATACCTGAATTTCGCGGATGATTTATGTCTGATGTCACACAAAGTCGAAGACTTACAGGCTAAAACAAACAAACTGCTAAAAGAGGCAGACAGCAAAGACAGGACTTCAAGTGAACATAGAGAAGACGGAAGTGATGAAGATAAGGAACCAACTAGCAGCAAGAACTGATCACTATTAACGAAATAAATCTGAAAGAGGTCACCTTCTTCACTTATCTAGGAAGCATCGTTCCAACTGCAGGCGGCCATGATCCGAAAGGCGAGGTAAACCTTGATCACTCTCAAATCAGTTTGAAAATCTTCTGCACTCCGCCTCAGTATAAACAACAAAATTCAGATTATGTTCAACACCAATGTTAAGTCAGTCAATTATTCTACATTGGTCAGAAATTTGGCGCACGCGTCACCCAAAAAAAAACATTTCCAACAAGCTACGGTAGACTTCTATCAACAGCTGCATTCGACGGCTCCAAAGTGAAGAGCAGTTGGGCAGCTAGGAAGAATTAGTCACAAGAAACTCTGGCAACAAACCAACTAATCAAAAAAACATGCAGAATAAAGTGGAGATCGATCGGATAAATGCCATTGAAGAGACCGTGGAATAACATCGCTCACCAGGTCATCTCGCTTGAGTGTGACCCAAATCGGAAGAAACAAGTTGCGCTTGGGTTCGAAGTGACATGGAGGAGGTCGTGTGTGGAGATGACAGACAATGAGCAATCGTGGGGCCGGCTAAGGAGGACTGAAGAGAAGAGGATGACATGGAGATGTGATATTGAATGCTGATTTTACACTCGCGAACCAGGGAAACAATAATAATAATAATAAACGCAAGTGTAACTCCATATTAGACAAGTTAATTTCAAATATCACACACATTGATGATGCAGTGTTAACAACTGGGTGACAAGGTTTCCAGCATAAAGCACTGCTCATAATCATATGAATTTATTCAAAAATATATGCATAACCATAGGAAATCTACGATTAGCAATAAAAATGACGAAAATAATATAGAGTTCAAAGCCTCTGCAGTACTGTCATAAGAAGGAAGGAACGTCAGAGGGCTTATTTAGGATTCTCAATGAAGGTGAAATTAGGGTGGCATATAAACCAACCAACCAACCAACTCTGTTGGGAAACTTACGGAATCCTACGGAGTGAGGACAGGAGTAAGACAAGGCTGCCTAATATCGCCAATGATTTTCCTGATTGCATTAGATTGGATAATGCGACAAACAGCGGGCAATGAGGAGACAGGCATAAAATGGACTCACACAAAAATCTTGGAGGATCTGGACTTCGCCGATGATATATGTCTGATTTCCCACAAACTGGAAGATATGCAAGTGAAAAGCAACAAGTTGGCAAAAGAAGCATCAAAGATAGGACTTCAGGTGAACATAGAGAAAACAGAGGTGATGAAGATTTCTGGCCAACACCAACACCAACAACAGACAACAATCAGCCAGCATAAATGGGAGAAATCTGAAAGAAACAACCTCCTTTACCTACCAACCTGGAAGCATCGTTTCAACTACAGGCGGACGGAACTGACGAGGATATCAAAGCAAGAATAGGAAAAGTAAGACAAGCTTTCATTACTCTCAAGTCTGTGTGGAGGTCAACAGCACTCAGCATCAAAAATAAGATCCGGATTTTCAACTCCAATGTGAAGTCAGTGCTACTATACGGTTTAGAGACTTAGCGCGTCATAAAGAGCATCTCAAACAAACTACAGACCTTCATTAACAGCCGTCTTCGCTCAGTACTCAAGATCAGATGGCCAGAAAAGATCAGCAACAGAGATCTCTGGGAGCGAACCAACCAGGAACCGATTGTGAAACAAATAGGCAGGAATAAATGCAGATGGATTGGCCATACTCTGAGGAAACCATCAAGTGACATCACTAGACAAGCAAGTGCTCGAGTGGAACCCAAAAGGGAAGCGGCGAGTTGGTCGTCCAAGGGTGACTTGGAGGAGGTCATGTGAAGAGGAGATGAAAGCGTGTGGGTAGACTTGGAGCCAGGTGAAGACTCTAGCAGAGAACCGAACGCAATGGAGACGCATGGCTGAAGCCCTATGTTCCTCTAGGAATTAAAGGAAATAATAATAATAACCAACTCTCTCAGAGATAAACTTTGTCGGCTTAAGGACCGAATAGACCCAATTAAGAAAAATAATGTAACTGACCAAATATCATGCAATGAATGTAAGCTCAATTACATAAGTCAAACTAGTAGTAGATCGGGATCAATTAGATTATTATTGGAACATCAAAATTTACCTAGACCTAGAATGTTTGACCTTGCTAAGTTAAATAACCTAGAAAAAACAGAACTCAGGCATTGCATTGTATTGCATTCACTTGCATATAATCACACAATACGAGGTGAATGGGACAGGTTGACAGTATTAAAAAGTAATATAGTCAGGTGGAGACAGAGAGAGAGGTTAATCATTGAAGCTTTTTCGATTGATTCAGCACAGAATACGTGCAATCGGAATGACGCAACGCCTATATTTTGGAGATATGGAAAGTGGCAACAAACAACAAATTGTGAAGCCGTGTGAGTAAACTGACATGAACATCAACAACAAAATTCGGATTTTCAATACAAACGTCAAGTTAGTTTTGCTATACGGATCAGAAACTTGGCGGGTCACAAAGAATATTTCCAACAGCCTGTTGCAGACCTTTATCAACAACTGTCTTCGTTCTATACTCAAGATCAGATGGCCGGAAAGAACAAGAAGCAACAAGAAACTATGGGAAGAAACAAAACAAGAACCAATCGCCCAATAAATATACAGGAGAAAGAAGTGGAAATGGATTGGACACTCACTGAGGAGGCCACTGGGTGACATCGCGCGTCAGGCCAACGCTCGAGTGGAACCCGAAAGGGAAGTGGCGAGTTGGACGTCCAAGGGTGACATGGGGGAGATCGTGTGAAGAGGAGTTGAAACAATATGGATTAACATGGATGCAGGTGAAAAGTGCAGCAGAGGACAGAAGCAAGTGGAGATGTGTAGTTGAAGCCCTATGTTCCACTAGGAACCCAAGGGAAGAATAATAATATATGTAGAGAGAGAGAGAAAGATTGAGCAAGTGAGTGACAGCGAGACCATCAAATAAAGCTGTAACATGCAGATAACAAACAAATATTTTAAAATGCATAAATTAACATACCAGTATATATTGCATTTGAGCTAGACTAAAATCTGCATTAATATATCTGGCTAAATATGCCTCCAACTGTTCCTGATACTTTTTCTCTGTTGAATAAATTTCTTTTTCTATAAAAAAAATTAATAAAAAGGTAAAAAAACAACAAACCAAGATTTAAATTTTCTTCTTCTAATTGTCGAAGTTTTTCTTCAAGATTACGGATTTTATTGTCTTGATTTGTATCGCTACTTTTTTTTGGTGAAAAAGAAAAGAATTTAATTAAGATATAATAAACAATTGAAATTGATAATAATAATAATAATAATAAACTTACATATTGTCCGGATTGTTCACATCTGATGCGCATTCCTCACTATCTGAAGATAATTTGACTTTAACTGTATGATCTATCATCTGTAAAGGTAGTAAAAAAATGAATAAAATAAGAATTAGATCACATAATCTAGAAACTAGATTTTCTTTTTGTAAGGATATATATATATATATATATATTAAACATATTATCACTTGAATTGTTGTGACTCTGACTGCCTGGTTTCAACGTAGAACTTTGCACAGATGTGCACCAGTTCGAGTTGCCACCCTCCCTCCATGTAGCACACAAAGCAAGAGAAGACAATAAAGAGAGATTCTTCAAAAGAGAGATAATAAACAGAAATATAAGACAAAATGAATAGTAATATGGAAAAACAATAGAATTTTATTGGATATTATAAATCACAAAGAGTGGATGCATCTGCGCCATTATCGAGAAAGATTTTGACCCAATGCCATTGGTTTTTACCGTCCCTAGGACCCCAACCAGTCAGGAAGTCTACAGCTTCCTACGTCACTGACTTAAACTAACTGATGGAGCCATGTTTTGGTTTGACCACCCCTAGCTCTTTTCCAACCTGATCAATCCTATGCCAGCTAAGATCGCCCATCGAGGAAGGCGATGGCTTGGCTGGGCATGTGTAACACATCTCCTAACCATCTCAATCGGTGTAGCTTCAGCCAACAATCTCGTCGACTGATTTCCCCCTCCTTACCTAGCACTCGACGCCTAACCCCAATATTGCACACCCTATTATACCACTTCACACGGGAGATAGAAGGCAGACACCTATGATTAAAGACAGTTGGCATTTTCATGTCTTCCACTTTCAATGGTAATGTTTTACATCGATAAAGGAGGACGGAGAGAACTGCTGAGCAGTACACATGTCCTTTGGTCGAACAGATATCACGTCTAGCAAGCCGAAGATGTCGTAAACTGCCATATGCCAAACAAGCCTTTTGTAGCTGTGCTGAGATTTCGTCAGAGATCAACCCAATGGCTCTGGCTGATGCAACCTCCCAAATAAGTGAAGTGGTCATCAAGCCACACCAACCACTTCACTCCCTATCTTTAATCTAGGAGTCAGTGTAGTCCAGTCCTGCAGCATCGTCTTACATTTGACAGGAGGAAATCGCATGCTAAGCATTCGCAGATTAGTGCTCAAGGTGTTCAGAAGACTCTGCTGTATTTTTTGAGCGTCTTCGCCTAGAATCGCCATATTCTAAGTCAACAAGACTACTATTACTTGGTGATAACAAGCCAATCCCTGACTAACTCTGATAATACAGGATTTGAGTTCAACCTACTAATACTTCAGAACACAACAGTATACAATTAATCACTCAAATACACTGTCCCTAAACTGAGAAAGACACATAAGACTGACTGTGAGAAGGCAGAGATTATTCATGGCTCCACGGAAAATTCAATAAGCCTAATTATATGTATATAGTTATTTTACGTGGATGAGTGGTCAACAAGCTTGGTCACCTAACCCGAAAGCCCTGGGATCAGTTCCTCAATGGGTCTTGGGTATCCACTGTGAAGAGTCCCAGAATGGGTCGAAACAGCTGTCCAGTCCTCCCAACTGGTTGCCAATGATCTCTCTAACTTAAATGTGTGACCAGATCAATAGGGTTTTCTTCGATATTATCACAGTTGACAGTGAACCATTGGGGGAAAATCGTCTTCGAATCGCTACCTAATGTTGTCGAAAGTGCCGAAAACTTTCACGCACCGTGAACCAATGAAAAGGGCTATATATATAAGAAATGCGTTTTTCACCGCGTCACGCCTAACTTCATGTGCCAAGGAGGTGATTTCACTAAGCGGGAACGGTAAAAGTAGCAAAAGTATTCATAGTTCGAAGTTCGCAGCTGAGAACTTCAACCTCAAGCAAGATTAGCCATTCTTTCTGTACATGACCAGTGCTGGTCTCTGACACCAACAGGTCGCAATTCTAACAGGTGAAAGTATTATTCAACTGGACACTGTAACAAATGTGAAAGTAAACGGTGATAATAACTATTTTCGAGTATGTTCTGAAACTCTGTGTGATAAGAGAGATGAGTACTCCTCATGAAGAGTATATAAAACAAAATTATACAAGCCTAGAAGTATGGTTGTATAATATGTATATATATATATATATATATATATACATATAATAATTTTTCAGAATATAAGATGTTATCAAGACAAGCATAGAAGCAGAGAGAGAGATAATACTTTCTATATGGGTCTGCGACTTTATGCGTCACAAAAAGCATTTCCAACAGGCTATTACCAGAGGATTTTAGATTTTCCTGTCGATTGATTGGACCGAAATGCTCGGTCTCAGGCTGACATGTCAGCTTCTTGTGCAGACGTTTCGACGATGTCTGGGCATGTAATTATAGGTTAATTGGTGAATGCTGACTAGCAGTGGAATCCAGCATGCGCATTTCGTCCTATTTGGGACTCGTCACTGGATGTACCTGCATTCCACCAATTAACCTATAATTACATGCCCAGATATCGTCGAAGCATCTGCACAAGAAGCTGACACGTCAACCTGAGACAGAATATTTCGGTCCAATCAATCGACGGGAAAATTTAAAATTCAATTAAAAATAAGTAATATGACCCGTTGCACAAGAGACAGTGGCTCTCGTGGCCCAAGCGGTCTATTGGATAACGCTTTGGCGTTTGAAACTATGGGCACTGGGTTCAAGCCAGTGCAGATATATCCAGTTGACGAGTCCCAAATAGAACGAAGTGTGCGTCCTGGATTCCACTGCTAGTCACCATCCACCAATTAACCTATTATTACCATAGAATTTTATCAACAACTACCTTCGTTCCAAACTGAAGATAAGATGGCCAAAAAGGATCAGAAACAGGGAATTCTGGAAACGAATCAATCAAAAAATACCTGATGCTCAAGAAATCAGCTGAAGAAAATGCAGATGGGTCAGAGACACACGCTACTGACTGAGGGGAGACCATTGAGTGACATCGAATACCGAGCCGGTGCTCAAGTGAAACCCAAGTGGGGCCTGGAACCGAGGGTGACATGGAGGCGAGGACAGACTTTTGGGAAACCGTGGGGAATAGCTAGCTAAGGAGGACTGCAGAGAACAGGATAAAGTGGGGAGATGTGCTGTTGAAGCCCTATGCTCCACTCGAAACCTACGGGAGTAGTAAATAACAACTGTGAATGCGAAAAGAAAATAGCGGAGACTATTGAAGATGTTCACATCAAAATGAACATAACTAGGTGTGTGTTTTTGTAATCCATATAAACCAGAAGACAGACTGGAGAAGATAAACTTTCTTCACATAACCAATGAATGATACAAAAAACAAGGCCATGTTCTAACTGGACAATATGCATCAAGAGAAACCCAGTTACATGACATTTAATCTATATTTGGGCTAAATGTCTCTACTGCACAGATCATGTGGGGAACACTGACTCATCAATCAGTGATTTCCTCCTGTACTAACAGGTATATATTCTTGGAAACAAACGGGGTATAAAACAGCAATAATATACAAACAGGTGAAACAATGGCACAACACTGTTAACATCATAAAACCACTAATGTTAAGCAGACTTTTTAAAAATCCACCTTGACCAATAAAAAATAAGCAGTTCACTTCTTCCCATTAATTTACACTGGTTATATATAGTGATCAACTTACTTGCCTCGTAAACTGAAGGTCCTTGGTTTCACCCCTGCAGGAGCCATAGATGCGTACTGCTGAAAAGTACCAAACTAGGAGGACACAGATGTCCAGTAGCTTTTTGAAGTGCAGATATACAGGTCAGTGGCTTCCAGTCAATGGGTCATGGGTATGAATCGCCCTCCATCTACTTCAGCTTGGGCAATTGAGTAGCATGATCGTCTTCATATGTATATATTAGTATCTTCTATTCACCCATTAGAGTTTTCCGACAACATTATATAGACTGATTGCAAAACCACTTACGTAGAATTTACAAGTTAGCTATAAGAGCAAAGTGAGTTCTATCACTATTGACAATGACTGAGTGTAGAAACTTTGATTTGGACCACATTACCTTGGAAATCCTTAAAGGCTTATTGTGAAAGTCAAGCTTTCATTCATAGGTTACTTTCTGCAGAATACTACATACACTCAGTCTAAATGATACAGTTTCCTGATTTCTTTCAATCCATGGTAGTTAAAGTTTAATATTGCTAGTATTTCTACGACGTGTAGATGACCAAACACCTGTGGAATTCGAAAGTCAACTACCTTTCATAAAAGTACGCTTAACTCACCATATTCAATTTCCTACCTCGGTCAGGTGTTTCTTGTAACAAATGATATTGTTTAGAGAACCACTGGAAAACCTGAGAGTACTGGACAGCTGTTTTTTGTCCTAGTTCTGGACTCTTCATCAGTACGCACCCGCCGCGGTTTGAACTCAGGACCTTCTGGTTACAAGGCAAGCTCGTATACCATTAGGCCACTGGGACCCTATCCAATGGCCCATGAATTCTAACTTCTATCAATTCACGACCCCTAGCAAATGTCTTCGGCGAGTATTTGTCTTCACACCCAACGTGACGCACTCTACTGGTCACGACTTCTCACCAGAACCACAGGTAACTACCTACCTCGATCAGTGCGTACTGAAGAAGAGTCCCAAAACAGGACGAAAGAGCTGTCTAGTGCTCCCAGTTTTTCCCATGGTTCTCTAACCAATGCCAGCCAATGATGAAATCCTACATGCAATCAAACAAAAAATCCCTACAAAACCATTAATTGAAAATCATTCTATTTCACAGGTTCTCATCAGCTAACTGCGAACTACTTGAAATTACAATGGTTATAAATAATAACATTTCATACTTCAATGTTTGAAAGGTAATAGAGAAAACATTATAAGATGAACGTATCCGGAATATAAGTATTACAATTTCCCTAAGTCATTTCTCAACAAAGCTTAATTCTTCATCTACCTTGTTAAGCGAACATAACCTCCTGGCTCTATCGTACAGTGTCCTTACTAATCCCCGCTTATAGCCTATGGGGCAGAAGCTGTTGTAGTGAAGATATTGTCCAGTCCAGGTTTCCTTTCCGTAGATGGATTTTTCATCCGTTCCATCGTTTCATCTTTTTACATTTGCGGCCGGGAAATTGAACTCGTCACAGTGGAATATGAACACAGCGACGAGTTCAATTTCCCGGTCGCAAATGTAAAAAGATGAAACGATGGAACGGATGAAAAATCCATCTACGGAAAGGAAACCTGGACTGGACAATATCTTCACTACAACAGCTTCTGCCCTATAGGCTATAAGCGGGGATTAGTAAGGACACTGTACGATAGAGCCAGGAGGTTATGTTCGCTTAACAAGGTAGATGAAGAATTAAGCTTTGTTGAGAAATGACTTATGTAAAACGGGTATCCAAAGGGCTTTATCCTAAAGTACAGCGAAGAAACAAAATGAGAAAGCGAAGTATCCAACAGTTGAAAGGAAGAAATTGTTCATTTGCCTCCCAAACAAAGGAGAAGCAGTATCACAAAAGATTGACAAGAGGATGAAAAGAGCAATAAAGAGATGCTTCCCTGCAGCTAAGCTGGTGACACTATACAGCACTACATGCTCTATAAGCCAATCGAAACTGGATAAGTGCCCTGCTGATGTTACCTCCAACTGCATTTATACATTTACGTGCACCTGAGGCAGCAAGTACATTGGAAGGACAGAAAGAAGGGCTTCTATCCAGTTTTCACAGCATATTCCGAGAAACTTATGCTTAAAAGGAAGCAGATATTTACGAAGTGCAATTACCAGACACCCTGTGGATACAGGTCATTTTGTCGAGATTTCCAAATCCTTCAAAATACTAAACATACAAAGGACAGCGAATCTACTACGATTTACTGCTGAAGCAATTGCAATCAAACGTTTCAGTCAGAACTTATGCACACAGAAAGAGAATGTGGTCAATATCTCACTCGCTTCCTTGGAAACCGTATTACTTTCATTACACTGATTAGTCATACACACTAATGAGCTCAGCTCACTAAGCAAGTTTTCGATTTGATGAACTTTAACCTTCTTGAGTTGCCATATTGATACAGTTCTATAGGAGGTCAATCGACAGCCCGAATGGCTCAGTAGTTATGTCTCTGATTGCAGCACTGGGTGATACGGGTTCGAATCTCAAAAAGGGATGTGAGTTCCTTCAAGATTGCAGATACGCCTTGCTGACTGGTGATTGCCAACAAACACGAAACCTAGATCCCATGCTTTGTGGCGACTGCCTCCAACCATCTAATAACAACAATATATCAACTCATAAAGAGACTTTGGAAGAATATATACAACAAATAATTAAAACGAATATCATACAGTTACCAGCAGAATAAATTATCGTACTAAACATTAAAGATTGATATTCAAGTTTTGGTTTGTAGGGATTTGACTGATTGGTTACAGGACTTTATCATGAGCTGACATTGCTTAGAGAACCATTGAAAAACCTGGGAGTACTGGACAGCTGTTTCGTACTGGTTTGGGACTCTTCAACAGTACGCACCCACCGGACCTTCTGGTAACAAGGAGAGCTCGTAAACCATAAAGCCACTGGAACCCAATCCAATGGCCCATGATTGACATTGTAAAAGAGGTTAAAAGTCAACTAACTGGCAGCTTTGGGCCTGCGTGTGATACATTTTGGCAGTGATTAAAGAAGCAAGGAAACTCACTTTCCCTTCTGGATTTAATCCATTGCCAAAATCAGTAGGTTTTTGAAGTCATTATCGTGAGTCACATACATTTTGCCAAACACTTAATCACTTTTAAATACAGAAAACCACCAGAAAAGAAGACTGCAAAAAAATCAATATTTATTTCACAAAATTTACTTTACAGTAATTATTTACAAGTTAGGAAAGTGTATACATATACAAGCAGTGATCCATAGGCATTATTTATAAATTATACACAGTAATCTTAACATTGTGACGGAAGCAGATAACACTACAGAATAATCATTCATTATCAACTGTCATTGGAAAAGATAAACTTTCCATCAGACCATCTACTTTATCCTGTAATTTACTAAGGATATCTGCATCAATAAACAAATGATAATCATCTAGGTCAGTATGAACAAAATTTTTGCCCAAAACCAAATTTTCTGCCAAATGTAAGAGAAACTGTTTCATAGCTGGATCACTATAATGTGATTGTAGTCAATCAGTGATCAAGTAAAAATTTACATTACCATTTAACAAGAATTCCTTTGTGAACATTTACCATGGTAAGTAGACGAGCTCAACTAAAGAAAAAAACAACAGAATATGAATACACTTCTGTAAAACAGTTTAGATACATCAGTAATATATATATTCACCGGGGTAAAATGAAGTTTATACATAACTGAGAGATAATGATTTTACTACACAAATGTAGAAACAGTTTCAAATATTATAATGCTGTTTTGAGATATATATGCTTTAAATTTTCATCCAGAAAACAATCCATGAAAGCTACTCAGAAAATACGGCGACACTTAGGGTATGCAGAATTTCGGCTAAGCTGAAGTATCATAGCCAAAGTCAAGGTTCTTCAAAAGTTGGACTATAAGGACCAATCAGATACAGGGAGCGCTGCGAAAGGTCATTTCCAATCAAATCATGTCTGCGTTTTTGCACTTAGAGAGGGGAAATGCAGTATTTTACTTATTCTCTAGGTACTTTCTCTGCAAATCTACACTGTTATGTAGGGTTATGGCTTTTAAGATTAAGGTTTATGGTGCTGAGGTAGGGTTAGAATTATGGTTAGAGTTAAGAATAGGTTAAAGAACAGTGTCAGAAATATCAATGAATCTCTAAGTACTATGACCTACAGCCACCTGGATGAATTCATCTATCGCGAAAGGTATGATTTCTCTGTAGGTCATCTGTGTAGTGACTAAGAGACATTCTTGCAACACATATGCGAAAATTATATAGTGTAATATGTTTGCAGTGGTTTATAGTGCATTTTTAACGATTATGCTACATTTTTTGTATCTGAATTCTGATATGTTGATCAGTGTTACAGAGAGTTCGGTTATGATAGTTCAACTTTGCCGGGATTTTGAGTGGTAGTTAGCTGCCACACTTCATGAAATGAAAGACAAAGTAATAGAAATGACTGACTGACTCGCCAGTTTCAACATAGAACTCTACACAGCAGTTACAGTTGCCATTCTCCCTCCATACACCACCCAAAGCAAGGGAGGCGTGTTAAGAGAGATTCAAAAGAGGGATAATAAACAGAATTGTGAAGGAAAAACAATAGTAATATGGAAGAACAATAGAGTTTTATTGAATATGATAAATCACAGAGAGTGAATGCATCTGCACAGTCATTGAAAATAATTTCTAGCCATATCCCTGATTGTCTCCAGCCTTCAGTAGCTTTTAGCACCCCGAGGACCCCAACCAACGTGACTGGCTTAGACTAACTGTATGGATTTCACGGACTGATTATGAGGCTATGTTTTGGTTTGACCACCACTAGCTCCTCTTGAATCTGATCCTATGTCAGCTAGTACTGCCCGTCGAGGAAGGCGATGGAATAAAGTAATTATTATTATAATTGCTAGGCATGCATAAAACTTGTCCTAACCATGTCGATCGATGTAACTTCGCAACCACGTCAAATTATTTTCAGTAATGGAAATAATACAATCGAAAATCATAGCCTGGTATAAAACAAAATAAGGTAGGAATAACTGTGATATTGTAGTCCATCTGAATGCCAGGCATAAATGTATCCTTGCTAATGTAGTTGATTTTAAGGTAAACCACTCGCAATTCTGAGTTACAGGTCCATACTCATGATTACGTGAACATCGGTACACTGCAACGCTCACTAAACCATTCCACTTAGCTGCTTGAATTCCCTATCTGAAAAGACAGTTCTGACGGACACACACCTACATTTAGTATTCTGCAGATTTTTCTAACATTAAATTAGTCTACTTCTGTAAAGTACATATAATGCATTCTCAAAACCCAAAACAACTCAAATATAAGTGATTCAAAAAGTTATTAAGGAGAAATCCAAGTATCGGTAAAAACAGATCTCAAGTGAAATTTAGCATTATGTCCACCAAAGAGAAGTGAAGCAGTTGTCACATAACAAAATACGTGACTTACTGGAGAGATTCATTTTCAATAAGTTTTTTTCTACATGTCATTGTGTAGCTTTTACGTGAAGACTTAAAAATAACGGTGAACAGAGTGAAGAAGAAAGGGAGTGATAATGGAATCAATAAAAGTGGGTGAGGGAATATTTTAATGCATGCTGGTGGAGATGTTCAGAAATTCAGAAAATGATAAAGGGTAAATAAATTGGCACAAATGTTTAATAAACTTCTGTACAGTCTCACTGAGTCTACCTGCTAACTCGATATAAAATGAGGTAACTCAACAACTGACCTCATCACTGATACTCTAAGAAAATGCTAACCCTAAACCACACTTTAAAATCGAATTTCACTCCGCAAAACTTTGTCAGGACATGAGTCTGATAGGAAGGAATTGTGTCAAACTTATTACCTTAAACTCCAATAACAAATATTATGGAATAGAATTACAACAACATACCAGTGTCACAGAGCCGACAAATGTGTGTAACGCACAAGTTAAATAAATTACAATACATATACGATATCCAATAGCCAATCTGTTGAGTTCTGGGTTTCTCGAAGGTTACGGTGCAGATGATTTTACGCCTTGAATTATTGAAAGAATTTATTCCAGTAAATGTAGGAACGTTCATTCCCATTTGAGTGATGTTTCAGGATGGAATCACTGCCTCGACTAGCAATGGTCGCCTCAGCATAAAGTGTGGCAAGAAAATAGACAAAGTGATTAAACAATAAAAATGAAAGACAGAGCAAAGCAATTCCACACGTGATGTGCAAGATGGAAAGATGAAAGTGGAAGCCAAAAAAATTTCAAAGGAGGATAGGTATGCTGCAAGGGAGAATTATTCAAAATAAATATAAATTGAAGGAGTAGTATATATGTTGCATCGGCGAAGTGTCTTATAGTTAGTAGATAATAGGCTCCCACTTCTGTGGCAGCTGTTCCTGAATGAAGTAGACAGCGTCTCGTGCACGGTGTCTAAATAAAGGGTTTGATGTTTTTCTGAATGGTGTTCCGTCGACTTATCCAGAATTATACTCGAACTTCTTTGCAGAAGTGTTATCTTATGGATATCACCGGCTACGGTGTAGTTTGCGGACAGCCATGTTATGCTGGTTACATCACCATTAAGTTCTCTATCAAATGAATGTCTGAAAGCATCACTTACCTCCAATTTTCCAAGAAGTTTGCCTCCATGGTCTCCGACAACACACTTTCAAACCAGTGTATTTTCTTGGAGCCATGAGTCGATGAACACTCTCAGGAAAAACCAAGATTTAACGGCTTGGTTTCCACGGAACAACCCTACGCCTCCTCAATAATTCATACTGCACCAGCACCGTAGGGCTCAGTTGCTCTCACAACAATATCCGTTTGTAAATAGTACTCGTTTGTACTAAGCCTTTCCTTCTTTCTTGACGAGACCCACTGTACACATTTTTGGGAAGTGAACGCGATTTCGCTGTAAGTTCTTGTCACTTAAGTCACAATGGATGGTCCCTCACTTCCTAACATATTTCACCCCTCCCACCGGATACTCCACTGATTTTCCGTCTCAGCGGGTATATGATCTTCGGTTAAAATTCTGATAAGATGGCTTAGCTCATTTCTGTTAGTTCGGCCTTACCATAGATAAATTAGGAAAGATGGACATCGGCTTTCCGTTTCCTAACAGATGAATGAGAAGAGACCATTGATTTCTCCAATAAACTCTTTATTTATTTCAAAATTTTGAAGAGAAATGTGTTTAAGTCATCAGCAAAAATTATATGGTCGCATCCCATGTTGATAACTGTCCATCGTGGCAAATAATCTCTGTTCCTATTTCTTGTCAAAAGTTGGTAATCGATAAACTGCCTAATCTATCACTTCTTTACAGTGTCTTCGGATTTGTATTCATTTATTTTTTAACGCTTCCGGTAGAACAGTGGCTTTTGGCTCGAGTTGTGAACATAGGGGATTGAACTCTGTTACTTCATATCTTCGGTCTCCGTCGTGAATTTAAGGGCGACTAGTAGTTTTCACCACTACACAGTTACTTCGTTGGCTGCTCATATGTGTGAGTGATAAAGTCCCTGAATCAATGCACCTTTTCGCTTCTCAGTCACCTCTATGGGGCTTGGCCTGCATTCAATTGTGTTTTCCAGGCGTTGAGAACAGAGTTTTCGTGCTTAACATCAGCTTAATTTGGCATACGTGTTAAAAGTAATCGGTGAGTGTGTGTGTGTCATACGAGGGAACATTGTTACACACTGGGTAGCTTTTCGAACATAAACACATGGATTTTAAACGCACGACTTCAGAACTTCGTCTCCATATTTCTCAAACATTAGAACCCGAGGGGGAGTTTCTTATCGCAGCTCAGTACACAGATAAAGGTTAAACACGTCTGCCATATCGCAGAACAAAAACATGCACATTTCTTCGGTATTATTCTGATTCGTCTTCGCGTTGCACTTATCCGTCCTCCTTTCATTTTCCTCTAGTAGTTTCTCATGCATCGATCACTTCTTGTACATGAGGAGAATATGCCATTATTTTTTATAGTCTCGCATACGCATATATACTGACATATCTTGTCAGTAGCTACTTCAATAGTTCTTACTCTTACTTCTTCGTTGTAAACACACTTAGGAGTCCCAGATGTCTGGGAAAGTGGTTATATCATTCCTAGCGTTCTCACACTACTCATCTCTGACTCGCCTCGATATACAACCTGATTATATCACAGGTCTACCAGAATTCCATCAATAAAAATGCCTAAACTCTTCTGCACTGCCAAAAGTTTTAATCGTGCAATCATATCAGATGGCCACTACATGAACTCGCGCTCATAGCTTCTAGCTAAATGTTGTGCGATTCTTCAAGGAAATGAAGAAAAATTGAAGAGAATCGGTTCTTCCTTCATATGAAACCAAGCTACGTCACGTGATATACTTGAGATTATTATTCTTCGTGCCGACCCTGAATGAAATGAGATGCTTTTGAACTGAATACGCTGTGGAATTAGGCCTAATTGATTTTTATCATCAAGAGATTTCTGTGAAGGTATAAGACAGTAAACAGGAGAAAACCGCAGGAGGAACGCAATGGAAATGACTCAATGCAAATACCAGA